ACGAAATGTTTGGTCAACAATGTTACAAAGTGTACTGGCTGGAAAAGCGGCTGAGGTATACTCTGCACTAGGGGTAGTTGAGAGTTCAGACTATGAGAAGGTCAAAGCAGCAATATTAAAAGCATATGAATTAGTACCTGAAGCGTATAGACAAAAGTTCAGAAAGTATAGAAAGTTTGATAATCAAACATTTGTTGAATTTTCACGAGAGAAAGAAGATTTATTCGATCACTGGTTTAGATCTAAGAAACTTGATAAAACTTTTGCTAATTTGCGACAAGTCATCCTGGTAGAAGAGTTTAAGGAATGTGTTCCTCAAGATTTGAAAACACATTTAGAAGATAAGAATGTGAAAACTCTTGAAGAGGCAGCAGTCATATCTGATACTTATGCTCTGTCTCATAAAAAGAATTTTGTTTCAAGATCTCAGACTAGCAGTAATTCTACCAATTCAGACACATATAAAAAGAGTGGTTCAGGGTCTCAGTCTTTCACAAATTCCCAGTCTCCATCCCAAGGTGGTTTTAAGTCCGGTCCAGGATGTGTTGAAGGATCGTCTGGAATGGGGTCGCTTCCTACTTGTAGTTATTGTAAGAAAAAGGGTCATCTGATCAGTGAATGCTTTAAACTTAAGAGAAAAAATGATTTTGATAAAACTCAACCACATGCTTGTGCGGCAGTTAGAGGTGATAGAGAAGCCTTAGTTTCGATTTGTTCTGACACTCCTGATGTCCAGGGTTCACAGTCCAGTTCTATTGATTCTATGGAGGATTATAAGCCCTTTATGTCTCAGGGATTTGTTTCACTCGGTGACTCTAGCGAAATAAAACCTGTCCAGATTTTGAGAGATACTGGTGCTGCACAGACGTTATTGTTAGAGGGCGTGCTTCCTTTGTCTGAGCAGACTTCTACTGGTGGGTCAGTTTTATTACAGGGTGTGGAGCTAGGCGTCATTGATGTTCCCCTGCATAGAATTAGTTTGAAGTCAGATTTAGTTACTGGACCTGTTATCGTAGGTGTTCGACCTACTCTTCCCGTTCCAGGTATTTCTTTGTTGTTAGGCAACGATCTAGCTGGCGGAAAAGTTGTACCAGATCCTATAGTTTGTGAGAAGATCACTCCAGATGTCATGTATAATGATGAAGATGATTACATTTATCCAGCATGTGCTGTTACTAGAGCGATGGCCAGAAGACGAGAAATGGAGGCAGACCATACTCAAGCCTTTGACGAGACGAATTCCTCTGTTGATATTGATTTGAATGACACTTTCTTATCTGACCTTGATGGCACTCAAACAAGCATGGAACCACACAATATCAAGAAGCAAGAGAAGAAAGAATTTTTACCAAAATTTGGTGGTGAGTATGATGAGTTGCATCCACTAGTTAGCCAAAGCAAGGACATCCTCAGCCGAGAACGTTTACTCTCTGAACAACATAAAGACCCAGATATCATTCAACTTAGTAAGTTGGCACTTCCACCAGAAGAGGCTACTAAAATTGGAGAATGCTTCTATATGAAAGATGGCATCCTTATGCGAAAATGGCGACCACCTGATGCTTCTCCAGATGAAGTGTGGCGTGTTGTTCACCAGATAGTGGTCCCAGCTGCTTATCGTCGAGATGTCATGAGTTTAGCTCACGATACACCTATGGCTGGTCATTTAGGTATCAATAAGACTTATAATAGGATTTTGAGTCATTTTTATTGGCCTAAGCTAAGAAAGGATGTTTCAAAGTTTTGCAAGTCATGCCATGTCTGTCAGATGGTAGGTAAACCAAATCAGAAGATACCATCTGCTCCTCTCCAACCCATTCCAGCTTTTGAAGAACCGTTTAGTCGAGTATTAGTGGATTGTGTAGGACCTTTGCCTAGGACCAGATCTGGAAACCAGTATTTACTTACCATTATGTGTACATCCACTCGATTTCCTGAAGCCATACCTCTAAGGAATATAAAGGCAAAGAGCATAGTTAAGGCCCTAACCAAGTTTTTCAGTTTTGTAGGAGCACCCAAGGCAATTCAGTCGGATCAAGGCTCAAATTTTATGTCGGGGTTGTTCCAGCAAGTCATGCATGAGTTGGGTATAAGGCAATATAGATCAACTGCTTATCATCCTGAGTCCCAGGGAGCGTTAGAACGTTTTCATCAAACCCTAAAAACAATGCTGAAGACCTATTGTTAAAAATATGAAAAAGACTGGGACGAAGGGGTTCATCTTGTGCTATTTTGCTGCAAGAGAAACAGTCCAGGAGTCTCTTGGGTTCAGTCCTTTTGAATTGGTGTTCGGACATACAGTTAGAGGTCCTTTGAAATTGTTGAAGGAAAAGTGGCTGACTGAGACTAGTGATCTTAATCTTTTAGATTATGTGTCTGATTTCAAAGAAAAACTTTACAATGCTTGTAAATTAGCACAAGAAAATTTGAAGAATTCTCAGATGAAAATGAAAATGTGGTATGACAAAGATGCCAGAAATAGGGTGTTTAAGCCAGGTGATAAGGTTCTTGTATTTTTACCTATTCCTGGTCATCCTTTACAGGCCAGATTTTATGGCCCTTATGAAACTGAAAGCAAGATCAGTGATGTAAACTATGTAGTTAAGACACCAGGTCGACGTAAAGAGAAACGGGTTTTCACATTAACATGTTAAAAGAGTATTTTGAAAGGTGTGACCGAAATTCTGTAAAACCAGTTTCCACTTTAGCCAATGCTAAGACTGTTCAAAATTATATTGAAAGTGATACGAGTGTAGAAATGAATGAGAAAGATTGTAATCAGAGTGTTCGTTTGAAAAACTCAGAAATTTTGGCTGATTTTGATGCCAAACTTGGACATTTGAACATTCACCAAAAAGAACAAGTTAAAAACTTGATGAATGAGTATCATCAAATCTTCTCGGATGTTCCAAAGAAAACTAATGCAGCTTGTCATGATGTTATAGTTGGCGATGCTCTGCCTATCAAACAACATCCGTACCGTCTGAATCCAATAAAATTGCAGTACCTAAGAAGGGAAGTGCAGTACATGTTGGACAATGACATTGTTGAACCTAGTAAAAGTGATTGGAGCTCACCGTGTATTCTTGTACCAAAACAGGACGGTTCTTACCGATTATGTACAGACTTTAGAAAGGTGAATTCTGTTACCAAAACTGATTCATATCCAATACCTAGAATCGATGACTGTATTGACAACATTGGAAATGCGAAATTTGTCAGTAAATTTGACCTGTTGAAAGGCTACTGGCAAGTACCGTTAACAGAAAGAGCAAAAGAAATATCTGCTTTTGCTACACCAGGACTTTACCAGTGTAAAGTAATGCCTTTTGGCATGAAAAACGCACCGGCTACATTCCAAAGGATGATTCACTCCCTTCTCCATGATCTTGAGGGATGCGAGGCCTACATTGATGATGTCGTCATATACAGCAACACATGGGATGAACATCTCCGAATCATGCGTGCTTTATTTGACATTTTAGCTAAAGCAAATTTAACTGTGAACCTTGAGAAGAGCGAATTTTGTCATGCCTATGTAGAGTATTAAGGTCATAAAGTAGGTCAAGGTTATGTTACACCCATTATGGCTAAAGTGGAAGCTATTGCAAAGTTCCCGATTCCTACAAACAAGAAAGAGTTAATGAGGTTTTTGGGCATGGCTGGGTTTTACAGAAAATGTTGTCCAAATTTTTCCTCAGTAGTTAGTCCACTTACAAATCTTTTACAAAAGAGGGTTAACTTTGAATGGACAAAGGATTGTGAAACATCCTTTCATAAAATCAAATCTGTACTTATGAGCAACCCAGTTCTGTCAACTCCAGATTTTTCTAAGCAATTTAAGCTTATTGTTGACGCTAGTGATGTTGGAATCGGGGCAGCTTTGTTTCAAGAACATAGTGATAAGGTAGATAGAGTTGTTTCTTATTTTTCAAAGAAACTTACAAAATGTCAACAAAAGTATTCCACCATTGAAAAGGAATGCCTTGCTTTGTTGTTAGCTTTACAGCATTTTGATGTTTATTTGAATGTTACTTTGCATCCAATTCTTGTGTATACTGATCACAACCCCCTGACATTTTTGCATAAATTGTCAAACAAGAATCAAAGACTGACTAGATGGAGTTTGTTGTTACAAGAATACAACATAACAATTAAGCATATCAAAGGCAAAGACAATGTTATTGCAGACGCCTTGTCAAGAGTATCGTAAACATACTAGATTTTGTATTAATGTACATGTTTTACAATTTAAGTTTTTCATTGACATTCAAACTTTTTAAGGGGGGAGGTGTTGTGAGATGTGTATTGTTTCATTATGTATATAATTAGTAACATTAAGTTTCTTGAACATTCCAGAGTGGTCAACATGTTTGGTCATTTTATCTAGAACATTCTTAAATTTTGTGTATGTCCAGATTGTTCCAGTAATATCATGTTTTAACAATTTCTAGAATATTCTAGATTTATATTACTGTATAAATACCCTGTCAATTCGATGCATAGATATACTTTGTCGTATAAGCACTATTGAGATATAACTGGGATATATATTTTCACTGGGACATTGTGTGCAGAAACGGACACTCTGATGTATGTGTTTTTAGATTCTTGCTAAGTTTGTACTTTATGTTTGATATATTTATTATATATTACTGTAAATAAATTATTGTTAAAAGTTTAAATTGTGTTATTGATCTTTGCTGGCATTTCGGGTAATTCTGACCCATAACAACACATAAACCACAGTATAATATTAGATTAACATATTTTTCTCTCAATTTTACGAAAGAAACCAAAGAAACAAGCGCTTTTGTAACCTTTTTTTAATTTCAATAGGTCATTTTACAATATTTAGTTTAATCATTACATTTCTCCACTTCAAATACACTTTTTGGGCAATTGCATTGTGATTTTCCGTTTTTAAGACTATTTTTAATACTTTTACTCAGGAATTTAAAAAAAATATGTGTATAACACTCCTTTCATCCAACATATACCTTCATTACATAGAGCTCCATTGAGTCCTTCTATGCATCTATCATGACACACACCAGTAACGGGGTCACATGATCTGTTTCCTCCACAGTAAGTCATACAATTCCCCAGACAGTTTATTCCAAAAAATCCAGGGGGACATTCTGTAAAATGTTTTTTGTATTCCATATAATTTTTTGTAAAGTTTTTGTCTTTTGTGTGCTTTAGTCAGACTCGGTACAATATAATGAATATTCCTGTAACCAAAAACAGATATAACAGTTTCGCTTTATGCGTTGATATGAAAGCTCTTAAATTTGGCAATACATTTTAATTTTTTTGTAAAGAAATGTCTGCTTGCTGGCCCTCTGCTATCATAGGTAAAATTTGTAGGTAGTTAATGCCCTATTTAGTAATGTTCTTTGTAAATAAAACTGAAATAATGAAAACATCAACAAGCCAAAGAGATAAATGATCAGTCTGTAAAATTGTATGTCTTTAAAAATATGTAACATGTAAACTATTTCATTATACCCCCGCTTGAAAAGTGGGAGGGTATTTAGTAATCGGGATTTCTGTCCGTCCGTCCGTCCGTCTGTACGCCCGTTCGTCGGCGTCCGTCTGTTACGCTTTTTCTCCTATCCGCAACTCCTCTTATACTACTGAGTGAAATTTAATGAAACTTTCACAGAGTCTTTATTATGTTCCCCAAACGAAGTTGGGGAACGTATTGTTTTTACTCTGTTTCTTATTATTATGTCGCCCCGAACGAAGTCGGGGACGACATATTGATATTGTACGCATGTTTTTTTTATCCAGGCTGTTTCTCGGAGATGGCTGGGACAATCTTCCTGAAACTTTCCTTCAAGGACGATCACTGGTTGTAGTTGTGCAGTGAGGTCGTTCAGTTCCAATATGTCTACCGTTGCCATGGAAACCTGTAAAAAGCGACAAATTTTGTCCGAGAGTGTTCTCTCTGGTCCCTTAAACGTTCGTCATGAAACTTTTCTTATTTTAATGATTAGTATCTGTAGTTCTGCAACTCGTATTTAAAATTTTCATATAATCGATTATTGCCATGGAAACCAGGTGAAAGTTAAAATTCTTTAATTTCGATTTTCTCAATAACTACTCAGGCAATCGTTTTGAAACTTTCAATGTTTATTCCTTGCAATGTGTCAAAGTGATTTCTACTTTCAAAATAATTGTAATGAGTCGCTCACGGTTGCCATAGAAACGAAACAGAAAAAAAGATTCAGATGCACACATGTGTTCTCCAAGGTCTAGGTCAAAGGGTCAAAGTTCGTCGTATCCAATAAAAGTTCTTTTCACAAGGATTACATATTTGAAATACGAAAGCCCTAGTACTTACCGTTCAAACGTTATGGCTATTTACTATGTTCAAGACGACCCCCCCCCTTTTTTTTGAAGCACACAGCCAAGTAGAATACACAGATATAACATATACAACTTACAAGTAACTTTTTAAAATCTTCATTCATAAAATTCAGTTCCCGTCATGTGATATTTTGCCATCATTCATTCTCCTTCTGTTTTGTCTCTTGAATTTATAAATATTTTATTTTATCTATATAAAAAAAAATAACGATTGTCAGCTGCATTTATTATCATTTCGCGTTTTCTTGTATATCTATCACTTGTATATTATTCATTTCATTAGATAGTGCAAGTATAAATTAAAAAATTGGTACGTCATTTCCATAGTTTTTATTCATTCATAAATTCTTTGATCCGCTCCTGATGGTTCGCAAAGCCTTGATCACCACTGTATACAAAACATTCATCTCGCCGAAAATGTTCATGATTCCGCTAAACTGAGAAAGTTCACACATGATTTATCATCTCATTACACACATCAGCTCTCTGCAATGCAGAAATGCTCGAATTGAAGGGGAAAATTCAGGAGTTATTGATGAGAAAAATTCAGGAGTTATTATGTCGCCCCGAACGAAGTCGGGGACGACATATTGATATTGTACGCATGTTTTTTTTTATCCAGGCTGTTTCTCGGAGATGGCTGGGACAATCTTCCTGAAACTTTCCTTCAAGGACGATCACTGGTTGTAGTTGTGCAGTGAGGTCGTTCAGTTCCAATATGTCTACCGTTGCCATGGAAACCTGTAAAAAGCGACAAATTTTGTCCGAGAGTGTTCTCTCTGGTCCCTTAAACGTTCTTCATGAAACTTTTCTTATTTTAATGATTAGTATCTGTAGTTCTGCAACTCGTATTTAAAATTTTCATATAATCGATTATTGCCATGGAAACCAGGTGAAAGTTAAAATTCTTTAATTTCGATTTTCTCAATAACTACTCAGGCAATCGTTTTGAAACTTTCAATGTTTATTCCTTGCAATGTGTCAAAGTGATTTCTACTTTCAAAATAATTGTAATGAGTCGCTCACGGTTGCCATAGAAACGAAACAGAAAAAAAGATTCAGATGCACACATGTGTTCTCCAAGGTCTAGGTCAAAGGGTCAAAGTTCGTCGTATCCAATAAAAGTTCTTTTCACAAGGATTACATATTTGAAATACGAAAGCCCTAGTACTTACCGTTCAAACGTTATGGCTATTTACTATGTTCAAGACGACCCCCCCCTTTTTTTGAAGCACACAGCCAAGTAGAATACACAGATATAACATATACAACTTACAAGTAACTTTTTAAAATCTTCATTCATAAAATTCAGTTCCCGTCATGTGATATTTTGCCATCATTCATTCTCCTTCTGTTTTGTCTCTTGAATTTATAAATATTTTATTTTATCTATATAAAAAAAAATAACGATTGTCAGCTGCATTTATTATCATTTCGCGTTTTCTTGTATATCTATCACTTGTATATTATTCATTTCATTAGATAGTGCAAGTATAAATTAAAAAATTGGTACGTCATTTCATTCATAAATTCTTTGATCCGCTCCTGATGGTTCGCAAAGCCTTGATCACCACTGTATACAAAACATTCATCTCGCCGAAAATGTTCATGATTCCGCTAAACTGAGAAAGTTCACACATGATTTATCATCTCATTACACACATCAGCTCTCTGCAATGCAGAAATGCTCGAATTGAAGGGGAAAATTCAGGAGTTATTGATGAGAAAAATTCAGGAGTTATTATGTCGCCCCGAACGAAGTCGGGGACGACATATTGATATTGTACGCATGTTTTTTTTTATCCAGGCTGTTTCTCGGAGATGGCTGGGACAATCTTCCTGAAACTTTCCTTCAAGGACGATCACTGGTTGTAGTTGTGCAGTGAGGTCGTTCAGTTCCAATATGTCTACCGTTGCCATGGAAACCTGTAAAAAGCGACAAATTTTGTCCGAGAGTGTTCTCTCTGGTCCCTTAAACGTTCGTCATGAAACTTTTCTTATTTTAATGATTAGTATCTGTAGTTCTGCAACTCGTATTTAAAATTTTCATATAATCGATTATTGCCATGGAAACCAGGTGAAAGTTAAAATTCTTTAATTTCGATTTTCTCAATAACTACTCAGGCAATCGTTTTGAAACTTTCAATGTTTATTCCTTGCAATGTGTCAAAGTGATTTCTACTTTCAAAATAATTGTAATGAGTCGCTCACGGTTGCCATAGAAACGAAACAGAAAAAAAGATTCAGATGCACACATGTGTTCTCCAAGGTCTAGGTCAAAGGGTCAAAGTTCGTCGTATCCAATAAAAGTTCTTTTCACAAGGATTACATATTTGAAATACGAAAGCCCTAGTACTTACCGTTCAAACGTTATGGCTATTTACTATGTTCAAGACGACCCCCCCCCCCTTTTTTTGAAGCACACAGCCAAGTAGAATACACAGATATAACATATACAACTTACAAGTAACTTTTTAAAATCTTCATTCATAAAATTCAGTTCCCGTCATGTGATATTTTGCCATCATTCATTCTCCTTCTGTTTTGTCTCTTGAATTTATAAATATTTTATTTTATCTATATAAAAAAAAATAACGATTGTCAGCTGCATTTATTATCATTTCGCGTTTTCTTGTATATCTATCACTTGTATATTATTCATTTCATTAGATAGTGCAAGTATAAATTAAAAAATTGGTACGTCATTTCCATAGTTTTTATTCATTCATAAATTCTTTGATCCGCTCCTGATGGTTCGCAAAGCCTTGATCACCACTGTATACAAAACATTCATCTCGCCGAAAATGTTCATGATTCCGCTAAACTGAGAAAGTTCACACATGATTTATCATCTCATTACACACATCAGCTCTCTGCAATGCAGAAATGCTCGAATTGAAGGGGAAAATTCAGGAGTTATTGATGAGAAAAATTCAGGAGTTATTATGTCGCCCCGAACGAAGTCGGGGACGACATATTGATATTGTACGCATGTTTTTTTTATCCAGGCTGTTTCTCGGAGATGGCTGGGACAATCTTCCTGAAACTTTCCTTCAAGGACGATCACTGGTTGTAGTTGTGCAGTGAGGTCGTTCAGTTCCAATATGTCTACCGTTGCCATGGAAACCTGTAAAAAGCGACAAATTTTGTCCGAGAGTGTTCTCTCTGGTCCCTTAAACGTTCGTCATGAAACTTTTCTTATTTTAATGATTAGTATCTGTAGTTCTGCAACTCGTATTTAAAATTTTCATATAATCGATTATTGCCATGGAAACCAGGTGAAAGTTAAAATTCTTTAATTTCGATTTTCTCAATAACTACTCAGGCAATCGTTTTGAAACTTTCAATGTTTATTCCTTGCAATGTGTCAAAGTGATTTCTACTTTCAAAATAATTGTAATGAGTCGCTCACGGTTGCCATAGAAACGAAACAGAAAAAAAGATTCAGATGCACACATGTGTTCTCCAAGGTCTAGGTCAAAGGGTCAAAGTTCGTCGTATCCAATAAAAGTTCTTTTCACAAGGATTACATATTTGAAATACGAAAGCCCTAGTACTTACCGTTCAAACGTTATGGCTATTTACTATGTTCAAGACGACCCCCCCCCCTTTTTTTGAAGCACACAGCCAAGTAGAATACACAGATATAACATATACAACTTACAAGTAACTTTTTAAAATCTTCATTCATAAAATTCAGTTCCCGTCATGTGATATTTTGCCATCATTCATTCTCCTTCTGTTTTGTCTCTTGAATTTATA